TTTCTATTTATACTCTTGTAACCTACTGCATAGTTATGAATGAATTACTTTTCCTACTTTATTTCCTTCTATGTTCCTCTCTTTAAGAATCACAAGCTTTGCCTTCAAAGTTGGATCGTTGTCTCGGCTTCTTCATGGTATCAGAGCGGGACTAATCCTCTCATCTTCTTCTTCTTAGCTTTGCTATGGCAACATCTGTAGCATCCCAGATCAAAGATCAGTCGGACAATAATGCATCTATTACAGTTAGCATCCCATCCTCGCTCAAATTTCTTGTTCATAATCTCAAAAATCTAGTACCTACTCAACTCTCTCCCAATAACTATTCCATTTGGAAATCTCAGATCATCAAGCTATTTCGTGCAAATGGATTCAAAAATTTTCTTTAATCCACCGCAAACCCTCAACCTAAAATGATTCAATAATCTTCATGATCTTTGATTCGTAACCCTGTCTACTCTCAATGGTTTCTTACCGACCAAAATCTTGCTGCATCAATTTGTTCCATAATATCTCCATCCATTCTTCCATACATTCTTCATCTTGAATCCACCACCGCCATTTTGGTGGCCGTAGAAAATAGGTTTCAATCCACAAACTGGTCTCGCGTCATTCAGCTCAAGAATGAGCTTCACAACACATCTATGAAAAATACTACAATGACACAATATCTAACTGAAATCAAAACTACCATTGATCGAATTATGGAGGCCGGAACTTCCGTGGACACCGATGACATAATCTTGTATTTCTTGAATGCTTACCCCCCTCATATATATCATTCAAAACTTCTATCCAAACTATGCTTACCCATATAAGTCTTGATAACTTTTACTCCCTTCTTTTGAGTGAAGAAATCAACATTGCCATGGATGCCTCAAGAATCACAAATGGTCCTAATCTGAATCTCGCCTTATATTCTTCACAAGGTCACGGTCAGATTAAACATGGCCGATTTGTGTCTATCAACCCCCATAATACAAGATCGACTTAGCCACCACTTCCAACCTGTCAAATTTGCACCAAGAAAGTCCATTCGGCTGCTGATTGTTGGCACAGAACAAACCTTCAAAACGTTCCAAAACCTCGACAAAACTCCAATTGAGCACTCGCTGCTGCTACCAATCAACCTACCAATGAATGGTACTTGGACTCCGGGGCCTCCTCAAACATAACAAACTCATTAGACAGATTATCCATTTCAAACACCTATCAAGGAAAATATACTTTTACTATTTGAGATGGACAGTCAATTCTGATTGCTCATTCCTATGAAGGTATCTCGCCAACACCGCCTGTTAAGCTTTATATTTCAAATCTTTTACATATTCATAACATTCACTATAGTCTGATTTCGATCTGTCATCTAACTAAATATAACAACATCTACATAATTTTTTATCCTTCTGGGTTTGTCTTCGAGGATCTGAAAACTCACCATGTTCTGCTACGTGGCCCATGTCGTGATGGACTCTACTCCATCCAAGCTCCCTCTGGCCGCCCCACCACGTCAATTCTCACTGCCACTCCACTCACTCTACCTCGACAACATGGCACAATCGTCTAGATCATCCTCACCGTTTCGTCATTGACACCATATCCAAGAAAAAACCTGTCTCTTAGCATACCTATTTCTTCTTCTACATGTTCTTTTTGTAATACATCCAAAGCTCACAAACTTGTTTTTGAAAAATTTAATCATAGACATAATAAACCTCTTATGCTCATTCATTCTGATGTATAGGATCTATCTCCTGTCACTTTTATTCAAGGTCACATATATTATGTTATATTTGTCGATGATTTTTCACGGTTTACGTGGCTGTTTCCAATGACTAATAAATTCGAAGTCGTTAATATTTTCATTACCTTCAAAGTGTTAATTGAAAAACAACTATAGTTATAAATAAAATATCTTGCAACAGATGGCAGATATGAATAAATAAACCAAACTTTTTGATATTTTCTTCAACAAAATGGGATTCATCATCAATTTTCCTGTCCGTACACACCCGAACAGAATGGATTAGCTGAACACAAGCATCATCACATTCTTGATACAACTCAGACACTAATGCAAACCGCTTATGTTCCTTATATTCATTGGCCCGAAGCCGTTCTCACAACTGTATATCTCATTAATTGAATGCCTTCCAAATCTATCAAATACTCCTCACCCTTCCATTTACTGTTCCAAAATCCTCCTTCATACTCACATCTTCGCACCTTTCGTTGTGAATGTTTTTCGCTGACCCCTCCTCACAGTCACCACAAGCATCAACCAAAAGCGAAGTCTTGTATCTTCCTGGGATCATATGATACTCACAAGGGCTATAAATGACTCAACTCTACCACTAACATGATATATCTCTCACGTTATGTCACCTTTAATGAAAATTCTTTTCCATTTTCTAAATCTGACAACTCTTCCTCTGCTACCTCTCCTATTCTCACTGCCTTCCTTCTTACTCCTACATCCATTCTTCATAAATCCCAAATTCTTCCTAACTCTATACCGCCTGCAATCACAAAAAAAATTAAATTTCACTTACTACTCCGTCTGTGGATAACGTCAACACCACTTGTTCTACGTCTTCTCCCAAATCAATCCTTCCTCATGACTCTTTGGTGACTTGATGTCAAACAGGATCCTTGAAAACTACACAACGTCTCAATCTCATTCACAACACACGCCTGTAAATACCAACAACACTCCTAATTCCTATACCGCGACCACCAAACACTTTGAATTCTTTACACTCCAAAAAGAAGGCACATGGAGTCTTGTTCTTCCTCCCTCCAATGCCTCAATTCTTGGTTGCAAATGGATGCATCAAACCAAACTTCATGCCGATGGCTCCATCGCAAGATTCAAAGCTTGTCTCGTCGCTCTATGCAATAGACAAGAATATGGCATTGATTATGATGAAACCTTCAGTCCCGTTGCACAGCTTCCAACTATTTGCTTTCTCTTCACTATTCTGCTACATCATGACTCACCCGTCAGCAACTTGATGTTGACAATGCACTTCTTCACGGTGACCTCACGGAAATCGTTTACATGACTCAACCCAAGGGCTTCGAAGATTCTTCTCATCATGAGCATTTTTATCTCTTAAAGAAAGCTATCTATGGGCTAAAACAAGTGCCATGAAAATGGTATAACACATTCAACAAATATGATCCCTCGCTTTTGATCCTACATCAATCTTCGATGAAAATTTTTCTCCTCATTTACGTTGACGATATTCTAATAAATGGCAGCAGTCGATCTGGTCTCTCGCTTACTACATCAACTCAACAATAAGTTTGCCATGAAACATCAGGAGAAACCCAGTCATTTCTTGGCATCAAAATCACCTTGCATAACAATCTTATTTTCTATCTCAACAACATTATGTGCAATCCATCCTACAAATAGCTCACCTAAACAACTGCAAATCGTTAGCCAATCCTACTTGCACTAAAATCCCTCAAGACATCATGTCGGATACCATTTTGTCAAATCCTCTCACCTACTGCAAAATCATTGGATCACTTCAATACTTAACTATTATGCGTCTGGATATCACATAGTATGTTAATCTTCTCTCTCAACACATGCATAATCCTCTTCCTCATCACAATTTTCTCCTCGAACGGCTTCTTCGCTACATCAACAGAACTCAACATTTTGGAATACCAATTACCATACATGATCTTCATCTTCACTCGTTCTCCAATGCTGACTGGGAGGACGACCCAATTTCTAGAAAATCTACTTTCAGATACTGCACATTCTTAGGCAAAACTCTAATATCATGGACCGTCAAGAAGCAACAAAATGTGGCAAAATCTTCTACTGAATATGAATACAGGGCACTTGTCGCCGCTACGGCAGATATTATTTGGCTTCGTATAATTCTTGCCGACTTTTGTCATAAAGACAGATCAACCTATAGACTTATATTGCGACAATACATCTGCTATAGCGCTCGCGAACAATCCCATCTTCATGCTCGAACAAAGCATATTGAGATGGATCACCGCTTCATCAGAGACCATATTCAGAACAATAACATCCGCTTGCTTCCTATTAGCTCTGTTGATCAAACTGCAAATATTCTTACGAAGTCGTTGTCTACTCGTCGGTTCTTTCAGCTCCGGCTCAATCTGACGGTCACACCGGATCCATCAGCTTGCGGGTGAATATTAGAGCATAATTCATGATATCTATTTAATGTTTACACGTGTAGCCCTTTGGGAAACTTCTAGACTTTTATATTTTCTATTTATACTCTTGTAACCTGCTGCGTTAGTTATGAATGAATTACTTTTCCTGCTTTATTTCCTTCTTTGTTCGTTTCTTCAAGAATCGCAAGCTTTGCCTTCAAAGTTGGATCGTTGTCTCAGCTTCTTCAATGTACTATTTATTAATGCTATTTTGTATATATATATTTTTTGAAATAAATGAAAATGATATTTGATGATGTGTATTTTCTTTATTTATCTAAAGTAAATTAATTACTTTGTAGTCTATATGAAATTGGAAAATATAAAATTGTCTCTAGATTGGTCTGACAAAATTTGTCATGTTACGTTCCGTCATGATATAACCTATGGAGTATATGGGTTATCGTGGGTCGAGTAGTGACACTGACCAAATGTAGAAGATTGTAGCCATGGGTTTCTAGTATGAGCTTCCTACTGCTAAATTGAAAGATTTAAGTGGTAGGTGGACGGCCTTGACCACTTTGGATGAGTGAATGCCTAATGCGAGAGGCAACTAAAGTCCTGACTAATCTAAACAAGTCATTCGAAGGAGTCATGGCACCCGTTAGTGACTTGCATGGGCATATATGAGTGTACATAAAGGAAAAAAAAAATTATAGATGTAATTTGAAGTGATCCCATCATTGACATTCAACTCAGAGTTATCGAGCTAAAATTTTAGAAGTTATCAATATTGTGCTTGATATTTAATAGTTATTGTTCTATTCTATGGCAGGCAAGAAATAAAAGAAAGGCACTAAATATAGATCTTCGCCTTGCTCAACTATTGAAAAATAAATAAATAAAAGAAAAGAATGTTCAAACACTGATTAACAACTCTGAGAACATTAGAGTTTGGACCAACCAAAATATGGTAAGTTTGGGCAAGTAATGAATCTGAACAATTATTCTTCAGCTTTTCTCTTTTGCTGACTTTTCTGATGCAAATTTTCTGGTCAATTTATATCTCACCATTCTAACGATCTTGTAGAACCAGAAGGCACTCACCAGTTGCAGCCCCATTGCCATCATCTAATGAAAACAAGAAACAAGCATTATGGCTGTGAAAATAAGTGGAAGATCTTCGGATATGCTAAGATGATTGTCCCTGTGTTTGTCGATCATTATAATAAAAATCAGATTGGTTTCAGTTCAAATTAAAATCAAATTGATCTTAAATAGTTAGCTCTAGCTCTGCTTAAAGCTAGACAAAAAAGAGCCGTGATCAAAGAAGTTATCCTTTTTCAATTAATTTTGCCTTCAAAACTTTGCCTAAACAACCAAAACTAAAAGATTTAAACATCCCCATGGGCAAAGAGCTTAAGCCAATGAACTATATTTATACCTTAACAATGATGGGATTCTCTGCCATCAAAGTTAAATAAGTGAGGTAGGGTCCCGCAACCATTCTTGACAGGGAGAAAATTACCGCAAAGAGAATCTGAAGCAAAAAAAGGAAAATTCAACCCTTGTTCTTTCCTGCTGCCGAAGATAAACTAAACAAACTTTTAATTTACTTACATCAAATAGTAAATTAAGATCTGTATCTTTGTAGCCAAGTTCTTTCAGAATCTCCCTCATGTGCAAGAAAGGACTGGAGATCTCAGTGATCCATAACGCGGCAACCATTTCAGAACCGCACTACAGAAATTAAAAAAATAATAAAAAAATCAAGTGATCATTATATAAAATACAGATTCATTTCTGTGCTGATCAAATTATTCGCTTACTTGTTCATAGGCAAGGCCTGCTCCAATGCCAACTATGCTTACAACATGATGCACCGAGTTGTCAATACTCATTTGTTTGTCGAATTGGCAGCATATAAAATCATAGATCATATATGAGAGAGTGATCGCTAGTGTTTTCATCTGCAATAAGTTGTGATGTTAATCCTGGCAACGTGTTTGCAATGTTTACTCATAATTTAAGATTTATATACATTATTTACACCTGCATCTGATGTGTTGGTTCTGTTCTGGTAAGTGGATTAAAAAGTATCAAATCAAAATTTATGAACTATAAGTTTAATTTCAATAAATCAGGTGGAAGGTTTAGTATTGCTTATTATGCATAACTGTTGGCACTTGAGAAAGAACTGAAATGATGATGCTGTTTCTTTGAAAGTTAAAAATTGAGCCATTGTTTAGAACTTGGAGCTTGGAACAGATTTTATCTTCTTAAATATATCAGGTTGCTGCGAAACCATCTTCAAAATTAAAAAGAATCACCTATTTAGAGAAACTAATAGAATAATTAACTGGTGTGCTAATAACGAGATGTAGATTTCAGTCTCCAGAATCTCTCATACTGACAATTTAAACTGGTGTGCTAATAACTTGTTTTTTGTATTAATAGGTTTGTTTTGTGACGTGAGGTTCCAGCAAAAAAATTTAAGAAATATGTAGTACTGGATTCGGAGTTCAGGAAAATTTTCTGAAGTCTTACAACCAGTTTAAACATTAGAAAAAACTAAACCCTAAACAAAGATGAAAAAATCACGAAAAAGAAGACATTCATTGAGTTTTACCTGTAACTGGGAAGATTTGGAAGCTAAAGGGCATACTGGACAGCTCCAATCCTGCACAGAGAGGATTGACAAAGAGACAGCAAGCGATGCATGGATTGTGGAGACGATTCGATTGCAGAAGTTGAAAGATCTCTTGGGAAGAGCTCGTCTGATGAGCATGAATGTTACAGCCCAAAGAACCACCCCGCGAAAAATCCAATTCACTATATAATCCTCCATCTAATTTGGAATTCTAGACAACTAGTTTGTAGTCTTGTTGAAAGAAAGCAAAAGATGCAAAAGAAGTTATGTGCTTGGATTCTTATTTTTGATGTATTCAATGGGCAGGGTTAAGAAGCAAGTTGGAAGAAAACATCAGAATTTATTCTTGGTTGTTTAAGCGAAATATGACATCCTCAACACAATTACAAGAAATGTAAGTAAAGAAAGCTTTTAATTTTGTTTTATAATAAATATTTTGGTTAAGTGTTGTTCTGTAGTACCAAATAATTACTTATAATTTTTGTATAAATATGTTCTAATTTGACAAAATGGTAGTATGTTTTATCAATATGTTTTACATTCTTGATACAAAAATAGATCTTATCCAGAGGCAAATGTATGTTCTGTGATGAGATTTAAGGATGCAGGCTTTTCAGCTTTGGCTCTTTCCAAATTTGTCATGTTCGTTGGAAAATGCAAAGCAGGAAAAAGAAAATAAACTGTAATTTTTGCTGGTGTGTAATTTATTTTCGCAATAAATGAAGTCTTACACGGAATTTATATTGGATCTGTATTTTTTACTTTGAGAATCTTCCCCGGTGGATGGATGGATATTTTAATAAATATTAAAGTATTAATTAATAATTTAGCTATCAAGGCGGATAGCCGTTGGCCACCCAATCTGAGTAGTCGGTTTGACAGATACTTCTTCAAGAAGTCGATAAACAACCAATTCAATGCAATCCTTATTATTATAGTTGAAACTGTTCATATACAGTTATTGGCTGCATCTCAGCCGTCTCTTCTTTAATTCTGATTCAGCCGCTATAAATGTTCTGCAGTCAAGAAGATAATGTTCATTATTTAGTTTACATGGAGTCGATTTGAAGGAATTTTTTTCTACAATGTCTCCGAACATATTTTGATACTCGAGCGGTGATTCATGTCGAAGTTTGAAATCTAAATATAGTTCATATATACGTCCATGGTGAGACCTGACATTACTAGCAAGCGAACTAAGATGGCTAGGACCTCAAAACATGTAGTAAGGAGAAAAAGAAAAAAAAGTTTTCGGGGGAAATGTTGTATTAGCTCTGTGGTCTCTTTATAATGTGCTAAAAGATCTAAAATTTGTATTTTCACCCTTTATTTATAGGGATATGAAGTCTATATAAAAATCCACGCTGAAAAAAAAAAAAAAAAATTACAGTAGCAAATGACCCATAGTATGGACTGCCTTACCATGTATCATGCTTTAATAGGCACTGTGAATGGTTGAATCTTTCTACTTCAACTCCTCCGCTTCGGGAGTAAGTCCCCCTATACTAAGTACTCGTAGACGAGTGGGTGAAGGTGTCCACTGATAGAGTCGGATTAAAATGATTGTTGTTGATGAGACGATTGGTGATGCTATTAACTTCGTAGATAGAGTCCATTAAATACTTCTACGTGAGGGATGAGTTTTCTTAAATTGCGAGGATAGTGAACTCCATGGTGAGGTGAGCTTGAATCCTCATAGGAGGATCCTTCCCTTTAGCTAGGGTGATGAATTTCATCCGTGACTCACTACTCGAGATGATAGAAAGTAGCCTTAACTTAACGATGTGCTTCTCATTGAAGGGCATGTCCTAATCTGAGTGATCCGTGTGAACCCTTGACATTTTCTTTAATGTTGGCTCTTATCTAGCTATTTTGACAAATCGGGGTTGGTGACCACTTGGCGAGTCTTTATTGTTGAGGCCCATAAGGTGTGAGTTCACTAGTTGTAAATTGTCAACTAACTACTAAACACCTAAGAAGGCATATGCGACTTTAATTTAGCGCCTTAGTTCACTTGATCATTTGAATGGAGAGTCGTGAATGGGATAAGTGATTTATTGAGAACTATTTATTATGAAATCTAAATAGTTAAAGGAAAGTAAATATAAATTCATTCTCTTATTTTTATAATAAACTTGATTGTCATATAGATTTTCCTTGAAGAAAGTGATTTGATGCCACTCATATCTAGCTCGTATAAGAAGCGAACCAGTGCTTGAGGCCCTTGCACCTTTAAACATTTAGTTGAACCACAATGTGTTATGACTATGAAAAAATATATCCTGCCGAGCTTACAAAGTTAAGTGCAAAGCTTGTGAGGAGGGATGCAATTCACCATTTCAATGATGAAAGAATTGAGCAAAGGATAAGAGTCCTTTTGTAAAGTAAAGATAAAGATGTTGTCATAGGTCCTCAAATAGTCCATTGTACTTACAGTTTCCCACCTACAACAAAGAAAATTAAACTGGAACTAGCTGTGGTGAAGGTTATTGTTGTACTATTGACCAAAGTTTTAGGCCTCTCAGAACCTATTTTTGGGGATGAGGCAATAATGAGTTCAAGGATGGTGACCCTCACTACAGGAAAATCATCCAATACCAGCGAAATTTTCAAGTGGCTTTTCGACAATCAATTTTTCAGCGGTTTTCCGACGGAAGAAAATGAGAAAGCTTTTCTGATGGAATTTTTCAGCAGTTTCTTTCCGACGTAATTTTCCAACAAATTTTCTGACGGCTCTTCAAGCTTTCAGGTGAATTTTAAATAATTTAATTGAAATGATTAAAAATTTAACTATTTAAATTATTAAACAAAAATGCTTAAAAATAATATTAACTAATTTAAATTAATTATTTTCTTAATTTAAGTAAAAATATTTAATTTTTAATTTATTTTAAGATTTTGTTTTTAATAATTAGTCATTTTAATAGTATTTTAAATAATTCTTATGTTAATATTTTGTTTTAATTAAATTTTAATTGTAATATTTTATTTTAATTAATTTTCATTTGAGTTCTAAGGATGTTCCCCTATATGCGTGGTAGACACGACAAGTTTCTCTTGGGGCATCTAGTGGAGTCAACTTATATTGAGATGTTAGCCTACATAGAGGTTGTGATAACCTTGCTCAAAGATGAGTTTGATGCTCCTTTTAAAGAAGGTAAGAACCATTTGAAATCATTGGATAGGATTCTATTTCATGGTTGTGCATCCTCCTTTATAAGTGAGCCCATTATGTCCTTTTCCTCGAGTGAGCTTCTGGCTCGTCTAATGAGCTAGTTCGAGGCATTGGCATTATTATAGTGAGCACTTGGCTTATACACTAAGATGAAGATCCTCCATAATAGTTTACTTGATGAACCTTAAGTTTTATTGAAAGGAGTTTCTATACTACTATTCCTTTATTATCGTCCTTTATAGAGTGCCTCCTATAAAGGATGTTAATTCAACTATGCCTACATTTAAAGAAAGTTGGTGGCAAGGGTTGAGTTAGCTATGGTGACAGTTAATGAATAGGAGTCAACACTGTTTAAAAGGCTCCAACCCCCAAAGAAATGGCGATGTTAGGAAATTCACTATTTCTTGTTTCACTACGTTCATTTGGTGATGCATCCTAGCTCAGGGGTTAACCATAATTAATGCTTTGGTAGAGTAGTTAGCATTGTGGAGAAGATCCTTAACTTATAGGAGAGTGTTGGTGAAAGAGGGGGAGCTCCTAAAAGGTGTGGTATTGAAGGTGGATGTCTATCTTATGATGGACATTATGGATCTACAAGATTAGATGTTAGTGACATTTAGCCTCTTGTAAAGAGTCTCTTCATTAATGGTGTGGGCTCCAAAAATTTGGCCCCAGCCTCCGCTTTCTTTGCTTTTTCTTTTTTTTTTTTTTTTTTTTTTTTTTGGGGGGTGGGCCGGGTGGGGGAGGGAAACACGAATGGGAGCTCGTGGCTGTGAAGATAAATTCTCTCCCCCATCACACGTGCTTCTACGGCTCCTTCCTGGCTGTTCAACTTCACGCCTTTCTGTTCGGAAAAGGAATTATGACATTTGTTGATTCAAAGCAATCGACAAGAGCTCGCGGGATGCGGGGGTACTTCCTCCTATCCATCCTCTCGGCTCCTTGTGACCGTTCGACTACGCTCCAATCGATGCCTTTACCTTCTTGTTGGATCGGAAACACGAACGGGGAGCTCGGGTTGTGAGATAACTCTCTGCCTTTCACGTATCTTTCTTCAGCCGAACCTGTAAAGCTCCGCGGCCAAAGAGAGGTAAAGGTAAGAGGGAGGAATTAATGCCTTAATTAAGTTTAATTAGGGTTTGTCTTAAAATTAATTATAATTAGTTTTTTAATTGTAATTATATTAATTAATTATATCTATTATAATTAATTAATGATTATTTTATTAAAATAATTATAATTAATCTAATTAATTTTAAATTAAAGTTAATATTAAATAATTAATAATACTCTTTTTAATTATGGTTAATATAAAATAATTATTAATTATAATTAATTTAATTAATTATAAACATAATTAATTAGAAATTATTATAGTTAATTATTAATTATAATCAATATTTTAATTGAAATAAAAAAGTGCTTGTTCCTTCCTTGATCCACGAGCCACTGCCGGATTTCAAGGTATGAATTTCTAGCTTAAATCCCGTCCTCGACGCGCTTGACGCGCCGGTGGATCCCCTATACGCGCTCTTGTAGCACGGTGGGGGAGAATCCGGTGCGACAGGTGCGACGAGGCGGGTAAGCCCTATACACGCTCATGTAGCGTGGTGGGGACGGTCCTCGACCTCTACACCGCCAACACTGCTACGCAAGGTATAACCCCTAAAACTCATATTCTCGTTCTCGTCGTTTGCGGCGGACCGATAAACCCCCTATACGTGCTCTTGTAGCACGGTGGGAGGAAATCTGGTCCGGCTCCTACGACGAGGCGAGTAATCGCCTAAAATTCCATTCTAGACATTTGCGACGGACTGGAGAACCACCTATATGCACTCTTGTAGCACGGTAGGAAGGAGCCCGGTGTGATGCATACGATGAGAAGGGTAAGCCCTATACACGCTCTTGTAGCGTGGTGGGGAGAGCCACTGGTATTCTCGTACGGGTACTGCTGAAAGCCACAAACACGCTCTTGTAGCGTGGTGGGAAGAAAATTTGTACGGCCGTGGTGTCTATGGACACCTACCATACACGCTCGAGTAGCGTGGTGGGAAGGCCCAGTTCCCCTACATTTCCCCCAAACGGGGGATATGCCGGGGTGCTGCCGAAATTTTTACTGAAGTGCACAAAGCTAGATCAATTCGAAGATCTCACTTGAGCAG